AAGTTAATATTCCCATAAGATTTTTCTGACCCATTTCCTTTATTTACCTTCACTATTTTTATCTCTTGATCTGATTCCATATAATTTTGTTCATTTTTGTCTATCTTTTTTATAGTCTCATCAGCTAGATCCCTAATTCCTCAGTCACTGCAGGTTCTTTTTACCCCTCCTTAGTTTCTCTCTGCCGTTATACCTCTTAGTGTCCTATAGTTGTGGGGACCCTAAGTATTTTCCCAGGTGGTAGGCTCAGAGAACTCATGCATTCCCTGGTCCCTGTATACCTCCTCTGCAATCCCACAGGCCTTCATCAGTGGTGCAGGTGAATCAGATATCTACATAGTAATGTGCCGAACGGGAGGACCAGGCCACAAAGGCATCTCTTGTATAATTGTTGAGAAGGGGACACCTGGCCTCAGCTTTGGCAAGAAGGAAAAAAAGGTAAGTGGCTATTGACAGGGAGCAATTCAAGTTATGAGACTGCCACCTGCCGGACCAAGCTCTGCTCTATTTCAGGAAATAGGTTCACGAACTTTCTAATTTGTCTTGGTGACAGTTGCTTCTAGTAGGCTTTTGACAGTAACATATAAAATAGAGTATCGTTAATAAAACCCTAGGACACTGACTAAAGTGGCAGAGTTTGCCATTAAGATCCACAAGCTGCCTGTTGTTTCAGTGGAAGTGATTTCTCTGTCTTTTCTCCTGCTTCCACTTTTGACCTGTATTTCTTATCCAGCGTTTTATTTTAGTGCACTCTATTATCCCAGGAAGAAATACTTATAGAAGATCTGATGTTCATTAGAAGTCTCAGAAATTATAGGAATATGGGCCACTTTTCTTCTTTAAGTAAAGCTCTTTGGGAGATGGTTGTATTTCAGGAATATAAAAGGAGAGTGTTTCCCTGGATGCTTTGAGAAGACATTCATAGGATTAAGACATCTCATATTGAGGCAATGAACAGCAGAACTGTGATTATGTAACTGTAGCTGGTGATAAGGGTAAGACCCATTCAGGTTTGTTACGTCAAATGACAAGAACAGTCATCTGTCTCCCATATGTACTGTTACAGTTAGAACTTCGGAGGAGAAGTCAGGTAATGAAATATATTTCTCTTCTCATAGCTCCTAGAGTTTCCAATTTTCCTTATATAACTCTTCCTGATCATTTGTACCTGCCAAAGAGTTAAGAGTTGTAATGCTTGTTTTGTAGTATAGCAGATATTTACTAGATACCTACTGTGTGCAAGGCTTTATGCTAACCCCTGGCGGGATACGAAAGTTACTCCCAGCCTTATTTAAGATTATAAGACATATGCCATCTTACCTATGTAAGACATGCTATGATATATAAGATATATAGCTATAGAATTTCTTGATCTAGGAATGTCCGTTTTGGATTATAAAGCACAGACCAACTATGGACTCTGACACATAATTTTACAGGACCCAGTTAACTGATTCAGGTGTTTGATATGATGATTATTTCAACACACATAGGTAGCATCCACCTCGATATTTGTGCTATCTATTGACAGAATACCAAAGCTACCAAAATTTGTGCCTGGAGAAAAATTGCAAATAAGTTTCATAAACTAAAAGTGTATCTTTTCTTCATTTTCTGTTTCTCTCCTCTCACTTTTACGCATATATATTTTCTTTCCTTTTTGTTTATTTTCAGTTTTAATTATTAGTTTTGCTTTATATATTTTTAATGTAAGGGAATTTGGAAGGATGTCTTTCATTCATTCAACAGCTGGTGAGTGCCCCCTGGGTGCCAGGCACTCTTCTAAGTAATAGGGCAGTGAACAAGACAGACATGCTCTGCCCTCATGGAATTTACACTTTAGTAAGTAGGGACAGACAATACACACATGAAGAAAAAAGATACCTTCCTAACTAGCTCATTGCTAGAGAGGAAATAAAACAATATCAAAGGACACTGATTGAGGAGAGTTTCTTTAGATACAGATTAAATCAGTAAGGGCACAATATTTTAGATGACATCTGAAGTTAGAAGGAGCCAACTGTGAGAATTCTGGGCAGAGACAGCAGTAGATACTGAGGGCTTGAGATGGGAATAAGGTTAGCCTATTTGAAGAACCAAAAAGTAGTTCAGTATGGCCCAAGGGTAGTGAGCAAAGAAGAGAATCGTAAGAGATGAAGTTGGAGAGGTAGGTAGGGCCTTGTAGATTAAGATTCAGTGTGAAAAGTCATCCACCGATCCTCATGGTTGATTTGGCTGTTCTGATAACTTCACCAGCTGGCCTTTTTCTTTCCTTGCTCTATGGCCCTCTTTTCTGCAAGCATGTGCTTTGACTTGGCATATTTAACACATTATATAGCTGAGAGCTTTACACCACCAACTGTGCATTGACTTTATGAGAAAGTAATAAGGACTTGCTTTATCTTAGATTTAGTTGTTAAAAAGTTTTGTATAGAAGAATGAGTTTTCTCCTGGGATGGGTGGAATTGAGGCCTCTTAGAAGAGAGTATGAAAATAACACGTGAGACATAAGACAAGACTAATAATAGAGGTTCCAGTCAAAATGGCAGAGTAGAAAAAAAACCTACTTGCCTCTTCCCATGACTGCATTAAAATTACAACTAAATCATAGAACAGTCAACCTGGAGAATCATCTAGAGACTAGCTGAACAGAACTTCTATAACTAAGGATATAAAGAAGAGGTCATATCCAAACTGCTAGGAGGGGCAGAGACGCAAAATGGGCTGGTCCCACACTCACACGCATAGTAGAACATTGCGGGGGGTATCTCGGCTGTAGATGTCTTCCCGGAAAAGCGAAGGGCCCCAACTCCACCCCAGGGCTCGCAAGCCCACAGTTCCAGTGCCAAGAGGAGTCCCCACAAAATCTGGCTATAAAAATCAGTGGAGAATGTGACCATCTGGGTGAGACATTGGAAACCCAGATGTCCCCTTAAAAAGCCCACACACAGACTCACTCACAGGCACTTACCTTGGGCTCAGATGAAGGGACAGCAGCTTGGGAGGTGCCAGAGACATACAAGGAAAGACTGAGTTATGTGGCTTCAGGGCTGGAGCACTAGCCATCATTATTCCTATGTTGAGCCCTCTTCTTGTGCAATTTGTTGGCAGGCGCCATCTTGCCTGTATTGAGCCCAACCCCAACACAGCCAAATCTAAATCTGCATTGACCTAATGAGCTCTGCTAACTCTATTCCAATGACTCCCTCAAACCCCACCACACCCCACTCACAAATTGCCAGTGGAAATTTTGTGGCTGGGCGAGTCCCATACCATGCTCAAAAAACTTCAACAGCAGTCAACAGGCTTCAACTCACAAACCTTAGGAGATATTTTTGGTGGCAAGCAAGGAGCTCTGTCCTGAGCTGCAGTAGTTCTTGAATAAATATCAAGAGTTTGTGGGCCCAGGGTGGGCAGCAGCTCTCCTTGGTATGATCTCAGACTTTTTTTGAAAGTGGCCATAGGCTTGACATTGGCACCAAGTCTGAATCTGAACTAACGTGGGGAATACTACTTGCCCCACCCTGGTAATTCCCTAGGACCTTGCCCCTTCCAATTTATGTACCATGCGAGGCTCTTTCAACTGCTGAGCCTTATGGGCAGCTGGAAGGCACCCTCAGGCTTTGGGGTGCCCTAGGTCTTTTGCTGAGTTGCTGCAGATCTGGTACTGGAAACATTCAGCCTCAGTTCATTGTCTGGCCTCTCCCATGTGCCTACAGGTCAAATACAGACAGCCACCAACCACAGATCGCTTCGTAATTCCTACCAGGTAGCCTTGGGCCGGTCACAGACAGCAGCTGACTTTGGCCTACAAGGGAGCCCCTCCCAAGGAAGTACAGAACCACCACATCCAGAGGCTATCGTCAGACCACTGCCTGATTTGCCCCACAAGCGGTGAACCCAAGGGGTGGTGTCAACAGGAACATCAGCCCGCTGGGGCAAATCCCACTTTGTGGGGTCAGCCCCCACGTAATAGCTTATACACCGTGTTTATGGCCAGTCCTCACAGCCAGTTAGCGTATGCGTTGATCCCACCCACTGACATGCAAATAAATAAGGCTCAACTACAACAGAAGGGTACACATAACCCACACAAGGGATACTGCTAAAGCACCTGACCCATGTGACTAGGGAGACTGTGCCACTGGGCCACACAGGATACCTACTACATTAGGCCACCTGGCTAAGACTGGGATATGTATCAGATCTACCTAATACATAGAAATGAACACAGAGGGAGCCAAAATGAGGAAACAAACATGTCATAAATGAAAGAACAGGAGAAAATTCCAGAAAAATAACTAAGTGAAATGGAGGCAAGCAACCTACCCAATACAGAGTTCAAAACACTCATTATAAGGATGCTCAATGAACTTAGGGGAAGAATAGATGAGCTCAGTGAGAATGTCAACAAAGAGATAGTAAGCACAAAAAGGGGCATAGAAACCATAAAAAAGAACTAGTGAGAACTAGTCAGAAATGAAGAATACAATAACTGAAATGAAGAATATACTAGAAGGAATCAACAGTAGATTAGATCAAGAAGAGGATCGAATCAGCAATTTGAAAGACAAGGTAGTGGAAAACACCCAATTAAAACAGAAAAAATAATTTTAAAAAATGATGATAGTTTAAGGGACCTCTGACACAACATCAGTTATAACAACATTTGCGTCATAGGGGCACCAGAAAGAGAAGAGAAAGAGAGCAAGGAATTGAAAACCTATTAGAAGAAATGACGGAAAACTTCCCTAAGCTGGCAAAAGAAATAGACATGCAACCCCAGGAATCGCAGAGTCCCAAACAAATGAACCCATACAGACCCACATCAAGACACATCATAATTAAAATGACAAAGCATAAAAACAGAATCCTAAAATCCAGCAAAAGAAAGGCAGCTACTTACAAGAGTACTCCATTAAGAATGTCAGCTGATTTCTCAAGAGAAACTATGCAATCCAGAGTGATTCACAAGAAATATTCAAAGTGATGAAAAGAAAGGACTTATAACCAAGACAGCTATACCCAGCAAGGCTATAAATTAAAATTGAAGGTATGATAAAGAGCTTCCCGGACAGGAAAAAGCTAAGGAATTCACCACAACCAAGCCAGTGTTACAAGAAATGTTGAAAGGACTTCTTTAAGAAGAAGGGGAAGAAAAAAAAAGAACATAAATATGAATAATAAATTGACAGTAACTATGTACCTATCAATAATCACTTTAAATGTATATGGATTAAATGCTACAATGTAAAGACATAGGGTAGCTGAATGGATAAGAAAATAAGACTCATGCATACATATGCTGTCTATAGGAGACCCACTTCCGATCAGGAGACATATGCAGACTGAAAGGAAAGGGATGGAGAAAGATATTTCACACAAATGGAAATGAAAAAAAAGCTGGAATACCTATACTTATATCAGACAAAATAGACTTTAAAACAAAAGCTATTAGAGACAAAGAAGGACATTATAATGATAAAGGATTCAATCCAACAAGAGAGCATAACCCTAGTAAACATTTATGCATCCAACATAGGGGCACCTAAATAAGTCAACTTTCGACCTACATAAAGGGAGAAATCAGTAATACAGTCATAGTAGGGAACTTTAAGGGAGAAATCAGTAATATAGTCATAGTAGGGAACTTTAACACCCCATTGACACCGTTGGACAGATCAAAAATCACTAAGGAAACAGCAACCTTAAATCATGCGTTAAACCAGATGGATTTAATTTATATTTTTAGAGCATTACACCCCAAAGCAGCAGAATATATATTCTTAAGTGTACACGGAACATTTTCCAAGATAGACCACATGCTGGGCCATAAAACCTATCATACATCTTCTCCAATCACAATGATATGAAACCAGAAATCAATTACAAGAAAAAAAAAATGAAAATTACACGAACACATGCAGGCTACATAACATGCTACTAAACAATGAATGGGTTAATAATGAGATCAAAGTAAAAATCAAAGATACCTTGAGACAAAATTAAAACAATGATCTCAAATCTATGGGACACAGCAAGAGCAGTCCTAAGGGAAATTCATAGCAATACAGGCCTACCTCAAGAAACAAGAAAAATCTCAAAGAAACAATCTAACTTTATGCCTTAAAGGAACTAGAAAAAGAACAACAAAATCCAAAATGAGTAGAAGAAAGGAAATAATAAAAATCACAACAGAAATATATGAAATAGAGTCCAAAAAAAAAAAAATACAAAAGATCAATGAAACCGAGAGCTACTTCTTTGAAAAGATAAATGAAATTGATAAACCTTTAATGAGACTCATCAAGAAAAAGAGAGAACCCAAATAAAATCAGAAATGAAAGAAGTGACAGCTGACTCCACAGAAGTACAAAGGATTATAAGAAAATACTACTAACATTTATATGCCAACAAATTGGACAATTTGGAAGAAATGGATACATTCCTAGAAACATACAGTTTTCCAAGACTGAGTCAAGAAGAAACTGAAAATATGAAACGACTGATTACTACTGGTGAAATCAAATCATAACCAAAAAAACTCCCAACAAACAAAGTCCTAGACCAGAGGGCTTCACAGATGAATTTTATCAAACATTCAAAGAAGAATTAATACTTATTATTCTGAAACTACTTCTAAAACTTCAAGAGGAGGGAAGGCTCCCAAGCTCATTCTATGAGGCCACCATTACGCTGATTCTAAAACCAGACAAAGACATTACAAAAAAAATTATAGACCAATAACCCTGATGAAAGTGGATGTAAAAATCTTCAACAAAATATTAGCAAGCCAAATTCAGCAATACATTAAGAAGGTCATATACTGCAATCAAGTGGTATTTATTCCTGGGATACAAGATTATTTCAATATCTACAAATCAATTATTGTGACATCATATTAACAGCTTGAAAGATAAAAACTCATATCAATAAATGCAGAAAAAGTGTTTGACAAAATCCAGCATCCATTTAGGATAAAAACTCTCAATAATGTAATAGAAGGAACATACCTCAACATATTAAAGATCATATGTGACAAACACACAGCTAACATAATGGCAGAAAGCTAAAAGCGTTTTTCTTAATATCAGGAAAAGACAATGCCTACTTTCACCATTTTTATTCAACACTGTAATGGAAATCCCAGCGACAGCATTCAGACAAGAAAAAGAAAAAAGTCATCCAAATTGGAAGGAAGAAGGAAAACATTATTTGCAGATGACATGATACTGCACTTAGAGAACCCTAAAGATCTCACCAAAAAACCCCCAACTATTCAAACTGATAAATGACTTCAGTAAAGTAACAGGATACAAAATTAATAATATTAAGATTTTATGCACCAATAATGAACTATCAAAAAAAGAAATTAAAACAATCCCATTTACAATTACATCCAAAAATAAACACTAGGAATAAATTTGACAAAGGAAGCAAAAGACCTGTACTCAGAAGATTATAAAACATTGAAGAAACTGAAGAAGATACAAATAAATGGGATCATATACCATGTTCATGAATAGGAAGAATTAACATCATTATAATGTCCATACTACCCAAAGCAATCTATAAACTTAATGCAGTCCTTATCAAAATACCAATGCCATTTTTCACAGAACTAGAACTAATAATTCTAAAATTTATATGGAACCACAGGAAAACCCAAATAGCCACAATAATCTTGAGAAAGAAGAACAAAGTTTGAGGTCTCACGATACCTGCTGGTGTAAGAACAGACACATGTCAATGGAACAGAATGGAGAGCCCAGAAATAAGCCCACACCTATATGGTCATTTAATCTATTACAAAGGAGGCAAGAATATACAGTGGGGTACAGACAGTCTCTTCAACAAATGGTGTTGGGAAAATGGACAGATAACATGTAAAAAAAATATGAAACTGGACCACCTTCTTACACCATATACAAGAACAAACTCAAAATGGATTAAAGACTTAAATATAAGGCCCCAAACCATAAAACTTCTAGAAGAAAACATAGGCGGTAAACTGTCTGACGTGGCTCTTAGTAATATTCTTTCTGATATATCTTCCCGGGAAAGGAAAACAAGAAATAAATGAGAATCAATCAAACAAAAATCTTCACACAGCAGAGGAAAACAAAATGAAAAGACAGCCTCCTGGATGGGAGAAGATATTTGCCAATGATGCATCTGATAAGGGATTAATATCCAAAATTTATGAAGAACTCATACTACTCAACACCAAAAAAGCAAAGAATAAAAAAAGGACAAAGGACCTAATAGCCGCTATTCCAAAGAGTACATATGTACAGATGGCCATAGACATATGAAAAGATGCTCAACGTCACTAATCATCAGAGAAATGCAAATTAAAACCACAGTACTGGAAGGTTTCAGATTGGTGGTGAGACTGTGGGAGCCTGAAAGAAAATAAGATCACTATCAGGTCAAGAGACTGACTGGGAAGGCCTTAGGAGGCTTCATTTAAGCTAGACTGATGGAGATTGGGGTTGGGGAGTATTCCCGGTGGAGGAAGCAGAATAAGCAAAAATATGTATTTAAATACCTAGAAGCACATTATGTTGACCAGCTTGACTGGAGTGGAGCATACTTACAAGTGACAAAGAAAAGGCTGAGAAAGAAGGATTGGACACATTTTTGAAGACCTTAAATAAAAGGCTGAGGAATAAAGTTTATCTTTCTAACAAAAAGGAGCTATTGAATTTTAAAATATCATTAAACCTCAAAGTTCTTTGAAGCCTTGGAAAGTACCTGGAAGAGCAGATGAAAGAGTCAAGTAGTGAGAGCCTTAATCTTTTTATTTTATATACCTCTAAATAAGATTTTATTTGAAGAAAGTGACTCTGCTGACTTTCTAGTACAACTCCCTTGTATAGGAGAAAACAGAAGCCACAAAAAAGCCAAGTGGTTTGGCCAAAGATGAAGAGTATAGCTGGTTAATTTGCATGACATGGACTACATCTCAAGTATTCAAAATTTTCTCTGGGCTTGTGACATATATTCAAGGATGTCTTGGTAAGTCAGCTTTTTGGAGAAAACAGAACCCAAAAATATCCTCATAGTTTGCCAGTAGTGTTTGCCAGTTTTCTATGGAATAAATACTCCCACTATGGCTGATTTCAAGCCACCTATGTGATGTCACTGAAAGCCATGTTAGGAAACGATGTGCATAATTGGCTTTTGTGAGCTGGATCTCTCTGCAGTTAAATGATTGACTTAGGTATTGCCAACACAGTGAATGTTACTCATGACATCCTAGAGGAACACTAAGCTTTTGAAAGAAGTATGGCTATTGTTAGTAATAATCCTTATGTTGTCTTCATGTAAGGAGAAGTAATCCAAATAATTCTTATATTGTCTGTTTTTTATAAAACAATGTACTCATAGGGGCACCAAAGTGAGGACAGTCCTGCCCCAATCCTAAAAGAAATTGTGAGAAGTGTTTGTGAGTAGGTTAATCTGGAAGAGTAGACATTAGAAAGTAGATGCTCTTAATATGTTAAAAAATGTTCGTCTGAAAAAAGAAATCTGTCATAGTTGAGAGAGATTTAAGTCTGACTGAGCTTTTATTTCTCATTTTAGTTCTAAAGGGTCTGAATCTCAAGGTTAATGGAACCTGTAATTCACAGGCTTTCATCAAAAAAGAACACCACCCTGAGTGGTGAATGAATAATGGGGCAGCCATACAGTTCCTAATTTTTGCCAGGTGGGGTGGAACTCTCATCCAACCCGAGCCGTGATCTTTGAAGACTGTGCTGTCCCTGTGGCCAACAGAATTGGGAATGAAGGGCAGGGCTTCATCATTGCCATGAAAGGACTGAACGGAGGGAGGATCAATATTGGTGAGAACACGAAGGGATACAGCAGGCAGGGGCAGGCAGCACTGTACTTCCAGCTCAGTTGAAGTGTTGGCACTCTTCCTTTCTAGCTTCCTGCTCTGTGGGGGCCGCTCATGCTTCAGTCATCCTCGCCCGAGATTACCTCAATACCCGGAAGCAGTTTGGAGTGCCTCTGGCCAGTAACCAGGTAACTGCTCTGGTGTCTCTGCATTTTGCTTCCCACTCTTTGCACGAGACCCACATTGTCCAGGAGAGTGTGGAGTTCTGCTCCCATCTTAGCCAGAACTTGTGCTCTATCACTAATGTTTTTCCAAAGGTAATAATATTCAATGAAGTGCAGGGCAAGTGAAGTAGACTTAGAACTTATAAGGTAGTGTGTTTTCTCTGTAGAAGAGGCAGGAAGCTTTAAAGATTGGAGTCACTTAAAAAAGCTATCTCATTAAAGATGGCTTACAGAGGGCTCCAGATCAGGTGCTACTCTAAGCCTATCTTGTCTGGTTCTCTTCTGCCCTATTGCTGTAGCACCTGCAATTCAAATTGGCTGATATGGCAACAAGGCTGGTGGCCTCACGACTGATTATCCGCAGTGCAGCGGTGGCTCTGCAGGAGGAGCGGGAAGATGCAGTGGCCCTAAAAGGACAAGGACCTAATAGCCGCTATTCCAAAGAGTACATATGTACAGATGGCCATAGACATATGAAAAGATGCTCAACGTCACTAATCATCAGAGAAATGCAAATTAAAACCACAGTACTGGAAGGTTTCAGATTGGTGGTGAGACTGTGGGAGCCTGAAAGAAAATAAGATCACTATCAGGTCAAGAGACTGACTGGGAAGGCCTTAGGAGGCTTCATTTAAGCTAGACTGATGGAGATTGGGGTTGGGGAGTATTCCCGGTGGAGGAAGCAGAATAAGCAAAAATATGTATTTAAATACCTAGAAGCACATTATGTTGACCAGCTTGACTGGAGTGGAGCATACTTACAAGTGACAAAGAAAAGGCTGAGAAAGAAGGATTGGACACATTTTTGAAGACCTTAAATAAAAGGCTGAGGAATAAAGTTTATCTTTCTAACAAAAAGGAGCTATTGAATGTTTTTATGTAAGGAAGTGATGGTGATGTGAAGACAGTAGTGTTTTCAGAACTATAGGGAACTGAGAGATTTTATATAGTCTTGTGATTTTAAAATCTGTTATCATTAAACCTCAAAGTTCTTTGAAGCCTTGGAAAGTACCTGGAAGAGCAGATGAAAGAGTCAAGTAGTGAGAGCCTTAATCTTTTTATATATGAAACCTCTAAATAAGATTTTATTTGAAGAAAGTGACTCTGCTGACTTTCTAGTACAACTCCCTTGTATAGGAGAAAACAGAAGCCACAAAAAAGCCAAGTGGTTTGGCCAAAGATGAAGAGTATAGCTGGTTAATTTGCATGACATGGACTACATCTCAAGTATTCAAAATTTTCTCTGGGCTTGTGACATATATTCAAGGATGTCTTGGTAAGTCAGCTTTTTGGAGAAAACAGAACCCAAAAATATCCTCATAGTTTGCCAGTAGTGTTTGCCAGTTTTCTATGGAATAAATACTCCCACTATGGCTGATTTCAAGCCACCTATGTGATGTCACTGAAAGCCATGTTAGGAAACGATGTGCATAATTGGCTTTTGTGAGCTGGATCTCTCTGCAGTTAAATGATTGACTTAGGTATTGCCAACACAGTGAATGTTACTCATGACATCCTAGAGGAACACTAAGCTTTTGAAAGAAGTATGGCTATTGTTAGTAATAATCCTTATGTTGTCTTCATGTAAGGAGAAGTAATCCAAATAATTCTTATATTGTCTGTTTTTTATAAAACAATGTACTCATAGGGGCACCAAAGTGAGGACAGTCCTGCCCCAATCCTAAAAGAAATTGTGAGAAGTGTTTGTGAGTAGGTTAATCTGGAAGAGTAGACATTAGAAAGTAGATGCTCTTAATATGTTAAAAAATGTTCGTCTGAAAAAAGAAATCTGTCATAGTTGAGAGAGATTTAAGTCTGACTGAGCTTTTATTTCTCATTTTAGTTCTAAAGGGTCTGAATCTCAAGGTTAATGGAACCTGTAATTCACAGGCTTTCATCAAAAAAGAACACCACCCTGAGTGGTGAATGAATAATGGGGCAGCCATACAGTTCCTAATTTTTGCCAGGTGGGGTGGAACTCTCATCCAACCCGAGCCGTGATCTTTGAAGACTGTGCTGTCCCTGTGGCCAACAGAATTGGGAATGAAGGGCAGGGCTTCATCATTGCCATGAAAGGACTGAACGGAGGGAGGATCAATATTGGTGAGAACACGAAGGGATACAGCAGGCAGGGGCAGGCAGCACTGTACTTCCAGCTCAGTTGAAGTGTTGGCACTCTTCCTTTCTAGCTTCCTGCTCTCTGGGGGCTGCTCATGCTTCAGTCATCCTCGCCCGAGATTACCTCAATACCCGGAAGCAGTTTGGAGTGCCTCTGGCCAGTAACCAGGTAACTGCTCTGGTGTCTCTGCATTTTGCTTCCCACTCTTTGCACGAGACCCACATTGTCCAGGAGAGTGTGGAGTTCTGCTCCCATCTTAGCCAGAACTTGTGCTCTATCACTAATGTTTTTCCAAAGGTAATAATATTCAATGAAGTGCAGGGCAAGTGAAGTAGACTTAGAACTTATAAGGTAGTGTGTTTTCTCTGTAGAAGAGGCAGGAAGCTTTAAAGATTGGAGTCACTTAAAAAAGCTATCTCATTAAAGATGGCTTACAGAGGGCTCCAGATCAGGTGCTACTCTAAGCCTATCTTGTCTGGTTCTCTTCTGCCCTATTGCTGTAGCACCTGCAATTCAAATTGGCTGATATGGCAACAAGGCTGGTGGCCTCACGACTGATTATCCGCAGTGCAGCGGTGGCTCTGCAGGAGGAGCGGGAAGATGCAGTGGCCCTGTGCTCTATGGCCAAGCTCTTTGCTACAGATGAATGTTTTGCCGTAAGTGATGTATCTCCTGGGCAAACAGGGAGCAGCTGCTATATCCAGGGATGTTGAGAGCCATCAGTCAACTGGGATGCTGCAGGGATTGCCTTGGGGCTTAAGGATATAAGTTAACTCATGAGAGGCGTGCATGGGAGCTCTCATAGCTGGCCATTTACCTGTTTCATGCCATTACACACTTCATTCTGTCATTGTCATTTGTGTTTAGTTGAGACCTACCATGTTTCCAGTGTCAGGGACAAAATGTTTCCACCTTGAGGCTGCGTGGCCCCTAGATGGCATCTTAACTTCATAGAATCTCAGCCCTGGTGTTTGCAGGTAGCTTTTCCCCTTAGATAATGAGCCAGAAAGGCAGCAGTTTCTGTGTTGCCTGTCTGGTGAGAACTGACAAGTTCAGGTGAACTCTGCTTGTCTCTGAGTACAGAGTACATGGAGCCTGTCTTTTGGCTTGGCTAGTTATCTGTAGGCTTTTCTTTCTCATATTAGTTTACAGGAGGCTGCCAGATTAGGGGCTGGGATGAGAAGAGAGAAGCCACTTGTTCTAGTCTTCCTAGAATTCAAGATCTTAATCCCTGTTTCCCTGCAGATCTGCAACCAGGCCTTACAGATGCATGGAGGCTACGGCTACCTGAAGGACTATGCTGTTCAGCAGTATGTACGGGACTCCAGGGTCCATCAGATCATTGAAGGTAAAAATTTCCAGAGGTTATTCTCTCTTTTAGAACAGTTACAGGATCACCACTTTTCCCCAGCTTGTCTATCCCCAGACTGTCTGGCTTTCAGGGTTCCACCAGGCCCTGTCTGTCTTTGACATCCTCCTTCCTCACTCCTCCTGACACTGCCTTGGAAGGGCCTGCATTGGTGCCATACAAAGAGCACAAACCTCAGTCAGGAGGCTCTGCTTTATCATATGGGTAAGTCATTGATTCATTCCACTTCTGCTCTTTTTCTTCATAAATCTTAGGAAAGGCTCAAACTGAGATAATATATGAAAAAACATTTTGGAAGCTACAGCAGCAATTATTCTCTATTGTTATAAAATACTTGCTATAAAGTAATCGGAATCTCAAAACTTCTGTACAGTAATTTACAGGGCAAATGTTACCAATTTGATCACCACTGCCTCTACAAATTGATTATCAACCAGATGGTCCAAAAGATATCTCTGTCAATATCGCTAATGGATTTTTCAGTAAAATAAATCATCCGTATATGGGTATCTTCTTGGTAATCACAGACATTCAGGCTGGGAAATGTGTAAGCTATTGGAGTCGTGCTCAGAGCATGGCTTTCTCCACTCTCCACACCAGTGTGTAAGTCTCAAAATTACATGACCGTTGTTCCAGCTAGCGTAGCCGAGGCTGTTACACTGTAAGACAAGCCGAAAGAGCAAAGGCTTGTCTAAGTGACTTTCAGTGAAATAATGTGGGGCTGCTTGAATGGAGCATAGAAGAGGCCTATGAGCAGTGGCCTCCTTGCTGCTTTCAAAGCATGCTTCACAAACCTGAGCATGCATCTGAATCAATTGGAGAGCCTGTGAAAACATTCTTGGGCCCCAATCCCCAGAGTTTCTGACTTAGGGGGTCTTGGGTGGGCCTAGGAATTTGCATCTCTGCTGCTGCTTGTCTGAGAACCACACTCTGAGACTCACTGCTCTGTTGTTATATCCAAATCACAGGCTTCTAAAGGTTAGTCTCTGCTTTCTGCTGCAAACCTCCTCCCTGAAGTATATTTATGAGCTCAATTGCTAGTGCTCAAATTAAATTCACTATAGTCTTATTCCTCCTACTACTCCTGCAATTACTTTTTGACCCAACATTATGAATGTAGGAAACTTCACCTTCATTGTAACTGTCTTGTAACCCTGTTACAATAAATGGGAGAAACCGGATATGTTTATTTCAGGCTACATCATCATCCACTCCTAGAATATTCAGGTGCTGATCTTTATCACTTTGTTTCATCATGGATTTTGTTATTGGATAAAGCTACAATTTTAGATTTGGTTTTATTCATTCCTCATGGGGGTTCATATTTCTCTTTGTATTAAGGCCATTATAAAAATGAAGCAAGCAACTGACCCCCTTTTTCAGGGAAAATGTTTTTGTTTGTTCTTTTAAAATTGTGTTTTCTGATTATCAAAGATTGGTATATTTATTGTTGAGAACTTACAAAATATAGGAAAAATTTTTAAAAAGTCACTCATGTTTCTACATCTAGAATTAATACGTTGGACTCCTTTTATATTTAAGTCCAAAAATATCCACTTTTGGTCTTTTTCTATGCCTTTGTAGGTATACTATATATACTATTTTATGTTTTTTTGTTTTTTTTTACCAAACATAAGTATTTTTACCATCAGGAGAGGTTTTTTGTTTTGTTTTTGTTTTTGTTTGTTAATAAATTTATTCCTCGGTTTCTAACATTTTTCTCTACTTTGGAGGGAAGTCTGTGATAACCTCTTCCCTCACAGGAGTAAAAGCAACAATTGTAGTTTACAGCCGTGACTACCCTGAGCTAGGCTCAGAGCACCCTGGTCAGAGCTTTACTGAGCTCTCAGACTTGCTGCTACTAAATCTTTCATTCTTATTCCCTCTTGCAGGTAGCAATGAAGTGATGAGGATGCTGATCTCTCAAAACCTGCTTCAGATATAGCTCCCAGACTTGATGTTCTGGCATGATGTTTAATGTGCAACTCGAATTAGTATTGAGTGGCTCCATACAGATGGTTCTGTTACAAATGTGTCATGGATTAGATGGAAGGACCAAGTTCTGCCAGGGTTACCCTTCACTCTGTGTGTTGGCAGCAGTGTCAGCTATAGGACTGGGCCGGAGTCTTCAGAAAACTGGAGGACCTGCCCTGAATGAGGATGTAACAAGAGGACACATTACCGTGTTTGCCTAATGCATAAAGGTGACTAATGAAGATGCACCCGCTGACAAATCACAGTCCTCTCTCAGATCCACATTGTCTTGATTTGTCTACATTTTGCTGATTCACTGATTTTCTTTCAGGGATCAAGGTGTGGAAAAGGAGAAATGAAGAGAATATGTCCTCCTATCTTTTTCTGTCCTTTGCACCTCAGCTAAAAATACAGGTTTTTTTGTGGGTTATACTTCCTTTGTAACATACCTGAGAATATACATCATGATAAAATGAGTTTAGGAAAATTTTGCTCCTAAGCTTTGATTTAGGATGTATCCGTACTTCTGGACCACCTGAATGTCAAGGGCTGGGTTATTTATTGTTGTTTTCTTTTTTAGAAGCATGTGGTCTAGGAATGGTTTCCAAAGTTTCTATAACCCTTCCTTGTAAGTACTTTGAGTATATCTTTTTCTATCTCCATTTTTGTGTTTTTGAAATTCCTCTTTTTAAATGTTTATTTATCACTGCATTGATAAATAAAACCTATCCCTTTCTGTACTATCTCGAGTTCTACTAAAGTTGGTTTTTATCTTATCTTTCTAAGCCTTTACAACCATTTTTTAAATTTTTATTATATTAAACATTTATCTAGATTTTAGAATAATAATCAAAAACATCTCCTTGACCAAATTTGCTTTTAAAAAATAGGCCCCTTAAATTACCACTAGCTTTGCAAACTAAGTGGCGTTTATGATTTATGAAAGTAGATTTAAAGCAATATTCAAAAATGGAGACTTTTCAGAGAATCTTGTTATAAATGATCATTACATTGCTCCATCCCTTCATCTCTATAGAATAATCCAAGATATTTTGTTAACTACGAGTCAGTGTTTAGAGAGACCAACATATGCATCTTTAGCTATGACAAATATTTTCTTTTTTTGAATGCAGATGTTCTATAAGGAACTGTGCTAGGTACTGCAGGGGGATAGGTTGTGGATATCCCGTAAAGCTTGAAGTATGTTTCTGCCTTCAAAGGCCTTATTTAATAGCTGTAGTGCAAAGTAATGATAGGTCTGCAGAAGAGAGAGAGTGAGCTGGAAAAAGAGTGATAAAATAGGAAGGGATTCATAGAGATGGTAGGAATTCAAATTAAGCTTTTACGAAAATGTATAATATTTAAAGAGAACCAAGAAAATCAATTTCAGACAAGAAAGAACGAGGAGCAGGATTTGTGTGGGAGCTGTTAACACTTTAGTTGTGCTTTTGAGGTTGGCATGGGAAAGAAAGCATAAATAGATGGAGCATAGAGGATTTTTAAGGCAGTGAAAATACTCTGTATGATAGTATAATAACAAATACATGTCATTATATATTTGTCCCATTCCTATAGAATGTATAATACCATGAGTTAACCCTAATATAAACTATGGACTTTGGGTGATGATGACATAACAAACATACCACTCTGCTGGGGTATGTTGTTAATGGAAAAGGGCAGGGTTATATAGGAAATCTCTGTACCTTCCTCTCAATTTTGCTGTGAACCTTACAATGCTAAAAAAAAAAAAAAGTCTTAAAAAAGGCATGAAGTGAGGAAGGTGATAAGGGGTTCCTAAAGCCCTTATCTAAGTTTTTTGAGTTGTTGAATCTTTTTGGATAGTAACCACTACATCACTGAGTAAACCTATCCAGGGCACTAATCTAGGCCACTAATCTAGCCCCACAAGTTGATTTTTGTTTTAACTTTTTAAAAACTTAATCTTTGATATTTGCGTTAATTTTTCCATTAGATTTGACTAATTCCTGGAAACAAAAACTTAAAAAAATTTCCCTGATAAATGTGAACTCTTAAAATAGGCCTCTCCTTTATTAAGAATTTGGGAAGTTTAGTAACTTGGGAAATCAATAGAACTCAATTTGAAGTTCGATTAAAAGACAAGGATTTTTACATAGAACCTTCCCGACTGAACAATTACTTCTTTACAAGCATTTATTTTACCTGGATGGAGAAAGTTGGTTGAGAATAGAGTATTTTCTGTTACATATAAAACTAATGTCTGAGAGACTAACACTTGTATTTTGAACTAAACTAATAGTTGTTTTGTGTGTGTGTATGTGTGTGTGGAATTAATGCTGTTTGAAAGAAATGTTTGCATGTGTCATAGTGTGGAAAGAGAAGCTGGGGTAGGGACACAAAAATGCTTAAATTTGATTCCCACCATGATGAAGGAACTTATCACATCACTTATCTTCACTAAGGATTAGCTCCTCCAGCTGAAATAAGATCCCTTGGCTCTGAGTATCATGTGCTGTCCCCAGTGACCATGGCTGACCAGGTCCACACAGAGCTGCTTTGGCAGGCAAGCTCTGCAGGGAGCTTGCAGGACACAGGTTCCAGTGGCAAACCATCCCAGAGTTGAGACATCCCTGCTCGCTCTCATCAGCCCTCTCCAACCTGTCCCAAGTCGTTCCCCCTTTCTGAATGGGAGGTAACATCCTTTCTGCCATAAAAATGATTACAAGTTGTTTTAAGGTTTTATAGCTTATCTATAGACAAATCAGATCCACCTACAGCCAGTTCTTTTCCAATGCCACAATTCTTTGGTGGGTTTCTTGGTACTACATATAAATCTGATGTCAACCTCATTTGTGTGGGGAGCTCTAGGTACCACATTCTATACATTCTTGGGCCATGAGATCTAACTAGTAAGGCTGATGTCCAAAACTCACCAGAATATAGCTGCTATTTCCTTCTGTACATCTATGCCTACAGGCATGTTCACTGAAGCACGGGAGCATGCAGTCTTCTTTGGTCTGGTGGCCGCTTTTATATCTCAGTCCATTTCTCTTAGAAAAAAAGTCGAGTAGCCATTGTTCTTAATAATAATGTTCCCACTAAGGAGGACTGCCTGACATAGTTTAGAACTGCCTTTTGCAACTTGTTTCCTTTTTTAAAAAAAATATTTTCATATTATCAAATTTACATATGTAAATAATTATGTCAAATAGTCTCATAAGACTTTTAATGAAAAATTAGCGCTCTTTCTCATCTCTCTCCACTGTTCATCAGAGAGTCATTTTCAAAATTTTCATCTATTTCTTCCAGTAATTATCTCTAGGTTTCAAAATAACATGCTTAAATTCTTACTGGTTTTAAATTTTAGATCAATTTATTCATTCTTGATATGAAAAAATTAAAATTTATGGCTCCTGTACCCTTTCTACCCAGCCACATAGTCTTTCTCCCTACCAATCTTCCCAGTACAGTTATATCATGATTTTTGGCTAAACCAATGTTTAGTTTTATATTAATACATATCTTTTTTATAGCTGAGCCTCCAAGTATTCTATGGTGTCCTTTCTTATACAATATTTTATTTTTAGAAATCTTGAATCTTCTCCCATTTGACAGTTGAGATATCAGAAATAAGTCAAAATTGATAACAACTGTCTGTGTTCCAGACTTTGAAATAATATATCTTCCTCCCACAATGCAGTCATGCTAATATAAAATAACATTATATAAAATATGACTAGTAATGTTGATATAAATGTTAATATGTAATTAGTACTGATAATACTAATTATTATTAATTTTAATATAAAAATAATGCTAGGAGAGATGATGCAAAACACAAATCCTAGAATATCTAGCTTGAATAGAGTTTCTGCCCTTGGACAGTAAGGAAAATGTAAAAGTTTGGGATAGGCCTTGGGCAGAGAGCCAGATTCAAAATGGATCACTGCCTTAAATATAAATCATAAACCTATAAAACTTTTAGGGGGAAAATAAAAACGGAAGAAACATCTTCAGGACCTAGGGCTAGGCAAAGAGTTCTTAGACTTAACACCAAAAGCACGATCCATAAAAGAAAAAGTTGATAAATTGTACTTTATCAAAACAACAATCTTTTACTCTGTGAAAAACCCTGTTAAGCTGATGGAATGATAAACTACAAACTAGGAGAAAGTATTTGCAAACACATATCCAATGAACCACTAGTATCTAGAATATATAATAAATTCTCAAATTCAAAATAAGCAACAATTCAATTAGAATATGGATAAAAGATGAGACATTTCACAAAAGATATATATATCATACACATGCACATGAAAAGATATTCAACATTATAGTTATTAGAAAATGCAAGTTAAAACCACAATGAGATATCACTACATACTGATCAAAGTGGCTAAAATTCAAAACTAGAGACAACACCTAATGCTGGTTAGGATATAGAGAAACTGGATTGCTTATACATTGCTGGTGGAATTGTGAATGGAAAACAGTTTGGCATTTCTTTTAAAACTAAAAATAGACTTATCATATGACCCAACAATTGCACTCCTGAACATTTATCCCAGGGAAATGAAGACATGTTCACACAAATAGCTGTACATAAATATTTTTTTCAAAATAGTCCACAACTGGAAACAACACATATATCCTTTAACGGTACATCCACACCATGGAATGCTAATCAGTAGAAAAAGAAATAAACTATGGATATAACTAACAACCTGGGTGAATCTCCAGAGAACCATGAGTGAAAAAAGTCAACCCCAAATGGTTACAAACTGTACGATTCCATTTATATAAGTCTTGAAATAACATAGATGTGGGGAACAGATTGTAGTTGCCACAGGTAAGGGATGGATATAGGAGAAAGGGAAGTGGGTGTAGCTATAAAAGTGCAAGGGATCCTTCTACTGATGGAAATACTCTGTATCTTGACTGTTATCAATCTCATTATCGTTATTTGATGTTGTGCTATAGTTTTGCAAGATGTTAGCATTGGGGAAGCTGGGTAAAGTGTATAAAGATCTCTTTATTCTTAAAATTGTATGGGAACCTACAATTACCTCATAATGTAAAATTTTATTTTAAAAAATTAACAGAGATAAAAAGGAGTTACCATGAAAAGATAAAGATATAATTCACCAGGAATGTACATAAATTCTTTTTTTGCCTTTGCTTTTGATGAAAAATAAAAATAAAAATAAATCACAAAAACTGATGTTGGAGAGCTTACTGCCTGTGATTTCTTCTAGGAGTTTCGTGGTTTCAGGTCTTATGTTCAAGTCTTTAATCCATTTTGAATTAATTTTTTGTGCAAGGTATAAGTGTTCCAGTTTCATTCTTCTGCATGTGGCTGTCCAGTTTTCCCCACACCATTTGTTGAAGAGACTGTCCTTTCCCATTTTTCATTCTTGGCTCTTTGCCATAGATTAATTGACCATATATGCATGAATTTATTTCTGAGCTCTCAGTTCTGTGCCATTGATCTATGTGTCTTTATATGCCAATATTTTCTGTTCGATTAGTATAACTTCATAATATAATTTGAAATCAGGGAATATGATGCCCCTAGCTTTGCTTTTTAAATGCTTTTTTTTCAAATAAACTACAAACTTTATTGAACTTTTCACCAGTTTTTGTTTTTTTTTTGTTTTAATCTCTTTATGTCCTTTTTCTGTTCCAGGATCCACTAGGATCCACATCGCATTTCATTGTGTCTTCCAGTCCTTCAATTTGTAGCGGTCCTTCAAGTCCTCCTTGT